ATTTTTTGAATTACTAATCCCTCTGAGGGCGTATTATTTTGCTTCCAGTATTATGCGTATACTACCCTTGTTGCTGTCAATATATGTAGTAAAATGTATTTAATCTTTTTCCTATATTTCCCTTTAATTATTCCCAACAAAAATAACCTCTGGTTTAAACTCTATTCAATCTTCCACTATTTCTTGTATCCATTTCCATATTTTGGTCCAGTATTTTTGGGCTTCCGGGCATGACTATCACATATGATAGAAGGTACCTTGATTCTGTTTACATTTCCAACATGTCGGATTTATGTTAGGGTACATTTTGGCCAATCTCATGGCAAATTCCAATGATAAAGCATCTTGTACATATTTCCTTTATAGGCCGCTGATCTTGTTAATGTGTAATTTTTGTTCCAAGTATTTTCCCAATCTGCTAAATCTATATTATGTCCAATATTTTTTTGCCCATGCTATCATACAGTCTAGGTTGCTTTTCTCCTTGATTACTTTCCATCTGCTGCTTCTATCTTCGTGTGCTTTGGAAAATAGGTTGACCCTCTTTTCTTTACGGCAGCTCCTCAAATATTGGAAGACCACTATCATGTCACCCCAAGAGTCGGACACAACTGAATGGATAACCTCATCTCTCCCACTTCTGCTTATCTTTGCCTCTCCTGACATCTGGACCTTCTTCTAATCAGAAGATAAGTTTACCATCTTCTCACCTCTTCTAAGGAAACATCTGGAGATTACTTGGCACCCCAGAGGCATTCTTGGATATAAAACAAAGCTGAAAACTGTTGAGGATCCTGCTTGCATTTTTTAGAAGGAGTTATTTTCAAGTGTAAAAAAAATTCAAGGAGGTGTTTGCAGGTGCAACGATGGCCATACAAACAGGATGACCAGGGTTAGAGGTAGGTTTTGGGTGTACATGTGTATCCTTAAAAGCATCAATCAAATTCTTCATGTAGATGGCGAATCACAACTCCTTAACAAACAGAAACCATTAGAGGGGGCAACATTACCACACAAATTGTGGTTTTATATGTTGTAAGCTGACTTGAGTCGCCATGGCAAATAGGCGGCAATACAAATTTAATAAAAAAATAAAAAAAATACTACACATGGTTTGCCCCTTGTAAATGTATATGTTGTACATTAGAACACCTTGATGTTCTGGGCTAATCAGTTTCAGTGAAAAGGATTTTTAAAAAAATCTACTGGGATCAATGAACGAAGAAGTCAAAATCAATTGGTTCTTACAAGGAGCTTTGCCAAAGTCTGAATTTCAGCCCTAGATGTTGATTTGGGTCAAACTGTACATGTAGACATTGTGGGATAAACCAAAATTATCATCAGCTGTCCACCAAGATGAGCTAATTGCTAATTCAACTTCATTCCACCCTAGATAAAGCCAAACCAGAAGATTGCTCACAGGAAGGAGGAATAATAAAGCTAAAGCTTAAAGCGGTGATTTAAAGCTGAAATCAAAGCCACCTCTGGAAGTTGTGGGTGCGCCAATGCTCCATCATGGGAGGTTTTCAAGAAGAGACTGGACAACCATTTAGACCAGGATGGTATAGAGTCTCTTGCAACACCTGACTGGCTTAGTTTAGGTCTGTGTACAAAACACTTGGACTTGTTGGAGGCAATGGTTTGGTTCCAAGCCGGGAGAGAGGTACTGGAGACAAAATGGAGGCTAGAGGCTGATTGGAATGGGGGTCCATTTATTGATGAAGCAGAACCACCAAGCACACGTGATTCTGGCTAGCTGACCACATGGAGTTGAGAGTGAGGGGTTTTTATACCTTCACTTGGGCTTTGCACTTGAGTTTCCTGTTCCTGTGCAAAAACATGTATTCTATTGGCTGCTGGAGCAGGAGTGGGATTCTCCCAGTTTGGATCGGTTTGGTAGAACTGGTTGTTACGATTCTCAGTAGTTCGGAGAACCGGTAAATCGGCCCCCTGGCTGGCCCCGTCCCTCTCTGCCTATGTCTCTGCTCTCTGACTGGTCAGTCCTTATCGTGCATGCGTGACAATAGCTGACTGCATTCTCCCCCCACCCACCCCGCCCAGTCACTACTTATAGCACATGTGCGCGACATCGCTGCCTGCATTTTCCCACCTGCCACCATCGCTTCCAGCAGCCACTGCCACTACCGCCGCCACTGCAGCCACCAGCCAGCCAGCCAGTCAGCCATTGCTGCCTGCCTTCCGCCGCTCATGGCCCTGCCTGATCTGGGTGAGTGAGAGCTCTGCAAACCCTGGTCACCACCGCCTCCAGCCACCCTCACCTGGCCTGCCTTGCCCGGCCTGCCTCGCTCAGCCTGCCTCGCTCGGCAGGCCATCTTTGCCCGGCTGCTGTTGCTGAAGATGCAGATTGGTGAGTGAGACCTTCAAGCAAGCCCCAGTTGTCTACCTGCCACCACCGCCAGCCCCGGTTGAGTCCCAACAACTCTGAGACTACCCAGGCGCCCTCATCGATGCTGCATGCCTTGTCTGGCTGCCATCTTCTTCCACCCATGGCCCACTGCACTGTTGCTACCTGGCTTTCCACCATTGAGTTAGGAGGCAAGCAACAAGCCCCGCTGGTCGCCTACCTCTTCCTGCCGCCACCAGCCTAGGTCGAGTGCTGACTCCCGGGTAGCCCAGCCGCCCTTACCGCAGAAAGCTCTACAGCAGGGGTGTCCAACCTTGGCAACTTTAAGCCTGGAGGACTTCAACTCCCAGAATTCCCCAGCCAGC